TTGATTCGAAGAACTCACAAATGTCAGTTTTAACCTCTTCCTATGTTACAAAAGTTGTTTCTTCCAAATGATTCTGTAAGCTACGAAACAAATGGTAGTCTGAAGAAGCAAAATCGGGAGAATAAGTTGGATGAGGAATTTTCTCCCAACCATGTTCTTCGATCTTTTGTGATGTGATTCTTGCTGTATGTGGTCGCGCATTGTCGTCTTGAAACATCACCTCTTTTCGATTCACTAGAGCAGATCTTTTTTTCCTCAAAGCTTGGTTCAAATGCTCTAATTGCTGACAGTATATTTGAGCATTAATTGTTGCATTAGATGGTAAGAATTCAAAGTGGATTATTCCTTGGCGATCCCACCAGATTGAAAGAAGAATATTTGCCCATGAAGTTCCCTTCTCGGCTGTGGCTGGGGTCCTTCTCCTTTACCCAGCCACTGTCTTCGACGCTTAACATTTCGATAAAAAATCCATTTTTCGTCCCCATTCACAAGTCTATCCAAAAAAGATGAAACAAGTTGGCGAGAATCGAGAGAAGAGCAGATGTCAACACGGGATTTGAGGTTGTTTTCAGACAATTTATGAGGCACCCATTTTCCAAGTTTAGGAACTTTTTCAGGTTGTTGAAGGTGACGTTAAACAGTTGTATGTTTTGAACTGAGAACCACTGCCAATTCCTCAACTGATAAAGCAGGATTTTCTTCAAGGGCTGCTTCAAGAAGCTTTTCATCAAACTCAACTGGACGTTCAGTTCGATCTTCATCTTCAAGGGTGAAATCTCCACCTCTGAATTTTGCAAACCATCTTCTGCAAGTTCTTTCATTCCCACATTCCTCTCCATAAACTGAGTGAATGTTTCTAGCCGCTTCGGCTGCTGAGTTTCCTTTCTTGAACTCATAAATCATTATGTGTCACAAATGATTCTTGGGTACTTCCATGTTAGCAGGGTTTTAATCAAACAAAATTTAATTTTATTGTTCTCTGAAATAGAATTTGATCAGTTTAAATGCATCTAAACATAAAAATAATGTTCAACTCTATTAGACATTATAAAATACGCTTTAAATATCGTTCATTTTAGCAAAAAGTTAAAATTCGGACAGAACTTATGGGATGACTTGATATATAAATGTTTATATACGTACATTATATATGATACAAAGGTTGTCATAGCCGAGGGGAGATAGCGTGGACAACCTTCCTATGTCTATAAAATGCTTCCGTGGCATGTGTCTGAAATAGCCCCTGACAACTAAGTCACAAGTCGGAGTATGTGCAAAGACAGAAATCTTTCCAATTGCTTCGTGTAGGTGGAGCTCAACATTTCAGGAATACTGTCCATATAGGTGAAGTAAGTCCAGACAAAAAAAAAAAAACTCTTGCAGCCTAGTGTCTCTCAGTGTAATACCCTGTATCCTTTTGGACCTTGCCGGTATGGCCATGTAATCGGGGCAGCGCACAAACTCTATATACTACCAACTGTCTTGGAGAAAGAAAACATCTGAATTCAAACGATCTGCAATCTCGTAGGTCATGCATCTTTAACTTCCGAGTGGAGATACAGCCTAACCTCAACATCCCCTGGGCAAAAGGAACTGGCAAGCAACTGATCCATTTTGACTTGAATGTCATTATGGACCACAGTTGTAAAATGGAGGGAATGTTGATCATTACACGCGCAGAATGCGCTAAATAAATGAATGATATATGTATATAAAGAATTATTTTTACGTAAATTGAATTTCAATTAAATGTATAAGTTATCAATTGATTTTGTGAATACAGTTCTCAATATCCTGCGGACAGACGGTGTTCTCAGGTTGTATTTAAGCAGCAATTAATAATTCATTCGGGCCTATTTGAGGTTTCTTCATTTAATTTTTGTTTCTTTAATCTTATACCTTTGGGTCTATATTTCAAGTTTCCGGATACAAATTGAATATAAATTGATCAATGTTTTCTCAACATTCTTGGCGTCCATAAGACACTATTCTTTATTGTGTATATTTAAATGTATTTTTGTGGCTTTTACGTGTCATGTCCGTTTTCATTTATCCTTTTTTAATTGTATTGTTTATTCTGAAATATATGGAGCAATTTTGCTTTTAAAATGAGTGTTTTTTTTTATTGATTTGCTTGTATTTTACCGTTAAAAGCTTCATCTAAAAAAGTTCGATTCCTATTTGTCTAATAACAATAAAATCATGCCAATCTACTTTAGAAAGAAGATTTATTTATTTGTTTTTTACGGCTTATCACCCTTTTTCAGGATATTTAAAGCGAGGAAATAATTTTAGGTTGTAATATTTTTTTTTTACATAATAATTATTTAGTGATACATGTATGAGGAGAAATAACACATGACAGAATTGCTGGCACGAGAAGAGTTTATTTGCGTATAAGTGAATATATCGAACCCATCTGGATTGGAAATTGGTTCTCTGATTATAAACCACGAGCCCTTATTCATTGCACCAAAAGCACATCCAAGTTTACAGCATCTGGTATACCATAGCATTCACCCATGTTGGCACTGACCAAGCTCGACGTTCCTTAACTTCACCGTATCCTACGAGGGACCGGTGATTCAACATGAAGCCCAGAAAAAAAAGAAAAGAAAAAAAGTCGAATAACTTTAATAAATTTGAGTAATGAGTAATTTCTGCTTTGGAAACCAATTTTAATGAGGAATAACGATTTTTTATTGAATGTTTCTAAAGGTAATGCAAAAAAAAAAAAACGGGTCATATATAGGACAAGGATAAAACTTCACAACCGACTAGCAATACTCAGCACCATCGAAGAAATGTAATCAGACTTATTATAAAACCCAGGTTGTGTGTGTGTGTGTGTTCGTTTATATATGGGATCGGATTTCCTACATTTTTCAACCGATTTCAACAAAACTTCACAGGACTACGTAAAATTACTCGGCGGTGGTTCTGACAGCGCCAAAAATCGGAAAAATACAATTGTTTTGCACGAAATCAATTTGAAAACACGATTAAGAGGCATCGCTGTCGCGAGAATGAAAGGGGGACAACTCATATCGAGTTATACTTATTATAAAACCCAGGTTGCTTGTGTATGTGTGTCTCTGTGTGTGTGTGTGTGTGTGTGTGTTCGTTTATATATAGGATCGAATTTCCTACATTTTTCAACTGATTTCAACAAAACTTTTTTGGCAGGTAGTGTTTCTTATTGTCTTGCACACTTTTTTCTTTATTTTTACATTCAGAATGCTTTAAAAATTCCATTTACAAGACAATTGTTTATAATAAAATTCTATTCAATCGGTAGACTCATAACGAATGAAAACAATGTTTTTGTTTGCGTTTGACCAATTCGTAAATAAAAAAAAACAAAAAAACAAAACAAAACAAAAAAAACTAATTAAGACATGCGTGTCCGTCAACATTAAACAATAATCTTTTCAATTTTATTTTTCAGTCTTTATGATGGTCGATACTTGATCCATCTCTTACTGTTACATCCCCGGGCAACGCCGGGCTCTACTGCTAGTCATTAATATATTATTCATTTGGAGTATGTAAAATGCAATGAAACGCCAAGCAATGAAATTCCAAGCAGCTGTAACATTTCTATAAAAGTAAGATGGAAATATTAATATGAGTGTCACATCTGCATGGGTGATTCTGCTATGTATTTAGAGATTCTTAATAAAATGGAAATAAAAATATGCAATGTTATTGGTCCTAACTTGGCATCTCGTCTTAAGTCACCAATCCACCACCGTAACGTAGTTTCTCTGTACGTTTTCTATAAATAATTTCATGGTAATTTTATTGCTGTACTTTCTTCTATGGTACCAGGATTTTATGAATAAAAGCTCAGGATTAATTGGCGCATGTGGAGAGGCATGGTGGAGTAATGGATAACAGATCGGATTGAAGCATCAGTGAGCCGAGTTCGAATTCCAGTCGAATCCATTACATTCGCTTACTTCCTAATACGCTACGGATTATGAGTCCTTTTCTTCTCCCACCAAACTATGTGTAAATAGCAAAACAGTAGCCTTGGATAGGAACTTGTCTACCACAGAAAGAAATCTCAACGTACTGCGGGAAAAAAAAATCTGCCTCTTCAGCCATGTATCGAAAGATAAACGATCGCCTAAGCGCGTATCACGCATGGCGCATAACTGATTGACAAAATTGGCGGCAATGTCTCATCATTTTACAGTTTTATGGCTAGATGTAGCCGGAAGATTTTTTTTCTTGTCTCTCATTTCTAGTTTGTAGAACTTTCTTCTAGCTTCATGCTTCACAGGCAACTTTTATCTGCCAAAATTGAAATGCAATGTCAATCGTTATATTCTTAAACATTCGTTAACACTGACTTTTCAAATTATTCCTCACTGACTAACATTCTTCTGTCTTCACGGCTTTATTATCTTGCTTGGGGTAAAACGATTTAAAACAATCTTTATTACGAGCTCGGTTTTTAAAGCAATATCATTTGCTTTGACAGAAGATCCTGAAGAATTTGATATAAGTATTGCCTGAATAAATTTAAGCATGTCGAGCACACCCTATCAGCACTGAGTGAGACTAGATAAAGTTTTTCTAGTTTGCAAATGTATAGACGTCATTATGTTATTAAATAACTGGAATTAGTTTTGAACTTAACCTACAGGAAGTGAGAGATGTCACTGTTTGTCTGTAAGCGGAAGTTTGTGAGCTCTTATCTTCAGCTTCCGGTTTAGCCTAAATTAAAGACTCTCCTTGTTTATGAACTCAAATGGACAGAAAATTAAAAAAAACAAAACAAACAGAACAAACAGACATTATATGTTGAGAGGAGGTTTTATGTGGGAAGTTTGTTGATAAGACCTTTTTTGTTCATAGGGGATAAAATGAAAGCGAGGACTTGGTAGGAATCAAGCAGAAGAAAACTGGAAAACAGAATAAGGGAAGTATTAGAATGGAGAAATGTAAGAAAATGAATTTCAAAAAAAGGAAAATGAAAGAAAAGGACGAGGCTAAGAACAAAAGAGGAAATGGAAGATAAAAATAATGAGTGAATGAAAAAAAAAGAGGCAGTAACAGAGTAAATGAGAAATTGGAAATGAAAACAAAGAAGTAAAAATATGAATAAAAAGAAATGAAATGAAGGACGGGAAAGTAAAAGAAAGAAAGAAAGAAAGAAAGAAAGAAAGAAAGAAAGAAAGAAAGAAAGAAAGTGACAAAATATAGAAAGAAATAATTAAGACATAAGATATAGGAGTGAAAAATAAATATGCTAGAAAGAAGGAAAGAAAGAAATCAAGGGAAGAAGAGGGAAATGAAAACAGAAAGAAAGAAATTAAGAAAGAAATAAAGAAAGAAAGAAATTAAGAAAGAGATAAAGAAAGAGTTACAATGAAAATAAAGAAAGAAAGAACGAATGAAGAGAAACTGATTAAATGAAATCCGAATTAAATGACAAGAAATTAAATTGTTAACCTTTTAAAAGAAATAAACAAAAGAAAGTAATGAAAACGAAGAAATGACGAAATTATGAAGAAATGGAAAGAAAGAAACAAAGAATGAAAGAAAGAAAGAAACAAATAAACAGAATGAAAAATACATTAAACAGAAAGAAAGTGATTAAATTATAAAGACAAAACGCTAATAAAAAGAAAAAGAAAAGAAAGAAAATTTTTAAAGGAAAGAAAGTAAAATGAAACAGGACAAAATTGATGAAATTATATAGAGAACTTCTAATGGAAAGAAAAAAGAAAAACGAAATAAAGAAGAAAGAAAGAAATGAAACCGAATAAAATTACAAAATTATAAAGAAAAATATAAGTGAATGAAAGAAGAAAAAGAAAAAAAATGAAGCAGAAAAAGGAAATTTAAAGAAAGAAATTATTAAATTAAGCAGAAAGAAAATGGCGAATAAATCACGAGAACTTCTAATGGAAAGAAAAAAGAATGAAATAAAGAAGAAAGAAATAAATGAAACTGAATAAAATTACAAAATTATAAAGAAAAATATAAGTGAATGAAAGAAGAAAAAGAAAGAAATGAAACAGAAAGACGAAATTTAAAGAAAGAAAGAATTAAATTAAGCAGAAAGAAAATAACGAATTTATCATGAGAACATTCCAATTGAAAGAAAGATAGAAGATAACACATGGAGCAGAAAGAAAATGGCGGAATTATAAAGCGAAACTTCAAATTGAAAGAAAGAAAGAATAAAGAAAAAGAAAAAAGAAAGGAAGCAGAAGGAATGTGATGGAATTATAAAATGAAACGTTTAATTCAATGAAAGAAAAAGAAAGAAGGAAAGAAAGCAGAAAGAAAATGATAAAAATATAAAGTAAATCATCTAATTGCAAGAAAAAAGACAGATAGACAGACAGACAGAAAAAGGAAGAAGGGAATGAAGCAAAATGAGAATGACGAAATGGTAAAGAGAAACTTCTATTTGAATAAAATTGAGAAAGAAAGAAAGAAAGAAAGAAAGAAAGAAAGAAAATCGAAGATAGAAATGAAGGAGGAACAAAATTGCGAAATTACAAAGAAACACTTCTAAATGAAATAAAGAAAGAAAAGAAGATATGAAGCAGTAAGGAAATGAAATTATAAAGAGAATCATTGAAAAGAAGAGAAAAGAAAGAAAAAGAAAGACAAATAAATAAGAAAGAAAGAAAATTGGAAGAGATGAAAAATCAAAGCAGGGTTGAAAGAATAATGGCTGACAGAACAAATGATATGTGAATAATGAGAGCGAATCAGAGAAAAACGAGATGGAACAGATTGCATAATGGTAACACAGAAAAGAAAGAGAAAGACAATCTCTCGATACTGAAACATAAAAAAAAATAACAGTTGAGCTATTTGGGAAAAATATTTTCAGTTATATAAGAAACTCTACTCGTGGCCGGAACTTACACAGAATTCTTTAAACGTTACAAAAAAGAGGATAGAGTATTTTTAATTTGTAGTCTGAATTTCTGGGATGATGAATTATCATGATTTAGATCATCTAGAGTCAGACTAATATTCTCATCTCTGTTGATATTATCATAACGATTTGATGGTATAGCACTTATTAAAAGAAGAGAAAATAATGCCTTAATCAAGATTATTGCATCAAATAAAAGTTTAGGTAGGATATCTCTATCATTACTAGAATGAGTGATAATAACTAATCTACTTGAGAAAATATTTTATGAGAAAGATTTTATAAATTTGAACAAAGAGCAGTGTCGCATGCTCGGTCAATGGATTTCAAAATGTTTCCTTGTAGGGAAACGTCTCATATTTGGAAAATTTGATACTCAATGACAAATTGAAGCGAATGGAAAAAACGTCAGACATACCTAGTGAGCTTGAGTAAAAGGGAGGGGAATAAATCTTTAGGAGAAATAATAAAAAGACAATTTTTTTAGGAGGTTTAAAGGATAGAAAATTGTGGAGAGTCATGAACACCAATGGTCTGAGTTGTGTCGGAAACCTACCACCCCTCTTGAAGATGAACTTGTCTACAAAGACGTTAAATAGTGGCATGTCAAAAGACAGACAGAGTCAGAGAAGTTTTTGGCTGAGCTAGTTATAGACTACTCAGGCGATTTCTGTACCTACTTACCAACCGAATAAACCCCTTTTTATTGTTACGTGTTATTTGGCGTTTGTCTTTATTAACCCCAAATCAACATCATAACAGTCTGAAAAAAGCAGAAAAAAGAAAAAGCGTTCTAGTTTGCACGAGACTCAAAATTTTTAGAAAATGATTTGCAAGTGGGTCAGAAATCGTGACGAATTTCATTTAGCACGAGAGTTGAATGAATGAACCATTTCCAAATACGTAACGTGGAGTTGTTTCAATAAAATGTTTGCCTGAGAGACACAAAAATAGACATATATCCGGTTGACACGAGAATCAAATGGATGAACATTTTTCAGTTACGTAATATGAAGTTCTGGTGTGTTGATAAACAGTTTGCCTGAGAGACACAAAAATAGATCGAATTCCGGTTGACAGGAGAGTCAAATGGACAAACCTTTCCCAGATACGTAATGGGGAATTTTGTTGATAAAAAGTTTGCCTGAGAGACGCAAAAATAGGCCGATTTCCAGTTGACAGGAGAGACAATTGAACGAAACATTTCCAGATACGTAATGTGGAGTTGTGTTGATAAACAGTTTGCCTGGGAGACACATAAATAGACATATACCCGCTTGACACGAGAGTCATATGGATGAACCTTTTTCATTTACGTAATATGAAGTTGTGCTGCGTTGATAAACACTTTGCCTGAGAGACAAAAAATAGACCGATTTCGGGTTGACAAAAGAGTCAAATGCACGCACCTTTTCCAGTTACGTAATTTCGAGTTATGCTGTGTTGGTATACTTTTTACTCCAAAGGCACAAAAATAAAGCGATTTCCGGTTAGCGTGAGAGTAAAATAAGTAGACAGCCAAATTTTTTTTTTCCTCCTGTATGTCAGTGAATGATGGAAAATTTCCACAAAGATGAGAAGAGACTTGGAGCAACAGAAATAAGGTTTTACAGGAAGATGCTGAGAATACCATCAACCGAACATCTGAGCAACGACGAGGATTCAGACAAAATGGAACTTAAGAAAAAATGTACTTATCAGATAGATGAAATTTACTGGGGCACGATCAAGGAGGATGGTTTAGAAAATCTTTTACTCACAGGACATATTGAGGTCAAGAGAGACAGAGAAAAACAACGCATAACGACGGGATTGAGAAAATAGATATCGGAACAGATTCCTATAACTTTGGTTAACAACCAGTCTTGAACTCTGAATGTAAAACCTGAGGAGGGTTATTTTGAAACCTTATGGCCCACTTTATGAACGGCTTCTCTGAATTTGGTTCTTCAAAGAAGTGTGGCTTGTTCTGCAGAAGCTTTCATCTCTATAATCAAATCATATGGTTTGGATAGTCTGGCTGTTCAGATTAAAGTAATGGCTTGCTGTTCCCTTACAGGTTGAATACGACGAAAGTGTCCAGTATGTATATCTAAACGAGTTGAAAGAACTATTAAACGAATTATAAGCCCTGCTCACACAAATTTATAAGATTAAAAATTTTCTATGCAAATTAATATATTTAATCTTGTTATGACTAACAATACCAGATCTAAAAAAATGTCAAACGTACATCACACTCCATCAATATCATCAAAGAAATACTTTTACTCACAAGGGGTTTTCAGTTCTTACGATATACAAACATAGGACTGTTTTAATGATCATATGTTTTTTAATAAGATTAACGATCCCGTGTCCCGCAACTCATCAGAGTTGCCGGGGCATCACATGTACTGCAACCGCAGTAGAAGTTTTGTATATTGGGCAAGATAGCCTGATATATCACATTCCTCTAATGGCTAGGTTGAATACAGATTATTCCTTCTCCGAGATCAGTTGCTACCCAAAGTTATAGAACTATATATATTCAGGGGAATAATGGATTCGTGCCTTCACCAAAAGCATTAGCACGTAAGTGAATGTAATGAACTCGATTGTAATTCGAGCTCAGCTCTCTGATTCCTCAATCCGATCCGCGAGTTATTACACCACAGTGTCTCCACAAGATTAATATTAAACAACGACTCATAAATAAACGCATTCCATATGACTTTAAACATAAACAGAAATTCCAAGTAGGATTCTCAATTATTACATTAAAAAAGTATAAAATAAACACATCCATAGACAATTTCTTCTTCTTCTTCTTCTTCTTCTTCTTCTTTTCCATGTTCCTACAGGACATGGGCAATCATGATTCTCAACAAATAACAGTCTTGGATCAGGCTTTGTTAAGTTCGAAACAAATCTGTTTGATCACCAATATGTTAAAAAGCCTCAGATTTTACAAGCCCTCTTTTCTCATTATGTGCCTTTGGAAATCTCGACTGTTTCTTTCATGTTAAGTATATATTTATGTCTAATTTCCACTTCCTCTAAAATTTCGTCCTTGCACATATGTTCTGTACATGATATATATAAATACAC